ATTTAGATGGAGTAAGTCGTTTAACTTAATCAAACATCTTATAGGAACACATTACATTTTACTTTGCCTGACTAGGTTAGTGTTCATTTACTTTTTGAGGTAGATGATGGTGATTTTTCTTTCTTTTGATCAACTCTTTGTTTCGATTTATCCTCAATTTTTGTGAAATTTTTTTCTAAACCAAAACTTTTGGATAAAAACGATGCAAAATCATGCACATTGACGTTTCCATTATTGACTGGAGCCGTTTTCGACGATGCAACTACAGATTGTTTGCTTTTTTCTATATTATTTGTTGCCGTCGTCGTATTTGTAGAAGAATTTGTGATTGTTTTCATTAATTGTGGATCTAAACCTAATGTTTGTAAAAAACCTAACATTGACGATTCCTTTTGAACAGGAGTCACAACAGAGGATTGTATTGTAGTTTCAGGTGTAATAATTCTTGGTGTAGAATGATCAAGACGTTTAACAATATTCTCAGATGGTAATATCTAAAAAACATCAACTACGAATGATATGATAACGGCCTCTGTCGTTCATCTTACTCTTCTATGTCGACTTCTTGATCTGCTTCGATAACCATAATCTCCATGCAAATTTTCTCGGTTAATATCATCGATGTCGACTTCTCGAGATGAATGACTGATTTGATGCGAATGTGGTCGATGATAGTCGGATGTTTGCTGATAAATAAACGATGTATCAGTTGGTTTATTTCGAGAAGGGGGATGCTGATGTTTATGATCATAACGACGATTATGCTCATGACGATAACGTTGATTGGAATAAGACGGTGATTTATAACGACGTCGAGAAGATGATGATGACATTATATGTGGCGACTGTAAGGGAGGTGAACGAGAAACAGTTACACGTAAACCGCCACAATTCTCATCAAATGCGACAGCCCGATGATCAACCTAAAACAGACAAATAAAAGAAATAGATTATACCCTCTATTTGATATAAAAATGTAATGTGTTCCTATAAGATGTTTGATTAAGTTAAACGACTTACTCCATCTAAATCAGCAAAATCTTGTGAATAAAAATAACCATTTTTAGTATGACTCATAATGAGAAGTTAAAGAAAAGAACATTTAACAACATAATGTGAACTCATCTTTGTTTGCATTTGCATAGGAAACTGTTTCTTCCATCTTTACATCTAAATGAAACAGATCTCAAAAAACAAACAGTAATTTTTGATTGAGCTGTTTTTTTAGAGTAAACAATAGTTCGTCAAAAGTATTTAAAAAAATGTATAGTCTTTTGACAATGCGCTTCTCTACGTTTGTATTTTTGAAGTTTTGAATTAAGAAATCGTATCTGAAAAGCGAAACGGACGGTGAAGAATTTTCTATAAAGAAATAAACAACCAACTAGACGCACAGTAAAAAAAGTAGTGGTAAAAACGTACAACATCCTCTGTCTTTACGCAATTTGTGTTAACCTTTTCTCGTGGCAAAGTAGCATCCTAATATATTCTAAAAACGGTTTTATCGTGACATCAGCTTTCGTTGGTTAATATTAACAACGACGATCACATTTCATTCCCTACAGGTAATGTTTTTCTTATCACTTTCTGAGCAAAGAATGACCTAACATACCACATGTTTATCGTAAAAATGCTGAAACCGTTGTGACACATGTTCAGTGTCAGTTGCTACATTTTTTCTATTACTTTGCGAGAAAAGAGGGTGACCATGTCTAGAGATTACCATTATCTAGACGAATGAATCAAGGAAGTTTATAGAAAAACTAAAATCAAGAAAAATGTATAAATTTGTCGTGAAATATTTTTTAGTTCTGAGCCCTGTAAATTTGGGCTAGCCCTTACTATACTATCTGTTCTGTAACTTTCCGTTTCATTAAGCTGAAAACATGTACGTCGAACGTCAAATCTCCAACTATAATTAAGAGCGACATTTACTATTTGAGACAACAAAGACGTGGCATTATGACACGAAGAAAACCATGAAAGCAAAAGCAGACGAAAAAAATATTTAATATAACATTTTCCTTGCTCTAATGGCAAAAATACTTCATTGACCGTTGAAGTTCACATAGAAAATGTGAAATTGCAAAATAAAACAACATTTTTACTATGACTTTGCCACGAATTTAGTGTTGCCTTTTTTGAGAATTTATATTATACACACATACTCACACACGAACGCACATGGAATTTTTTTTCTTTATATTGATTCGTATATTATTAATCAATAAAATTTACCATGCCTGAGACGACGCTCAATGATAGATGGCGTCTCAGTAGAAGCAGGATCGTTTTTTTTCGTATTGTGTGACTCTATTTCAGTCAGAAGAGCTTGAAAAACGGAACAATATGACGTTCTTTTTATTCTTAGAAAAGTACTTCTGAGGACAAAGAATTCTGTTTTAAAATACAGTTTCATGAAATTTTAGATTTATAAAGAGAAATGGGTGAAAAAATTACCTAAAGTATAGAGAAGATTGGCCACAATATTTAAATTTTTACCCTATAAAAAAAGACTGCCTGCCCATGAATGCCGTAGTGGTATGCGACAGAGCGCTGCTCAGGTCTTCCAATGTTTGCCGCAAATGTTCGCTGCACATCCGCGCAAGCCTCTCCGTAGAATTTTTGCCTGACGGAGTGATACATTAGGCATTCTCGCATGTCCTGCCAGCAGACAGTCTTTTTTTATAGGGCATACACGATTCAACGACAACAGAACTGCAGCTTAGTATGTCTTTCATCTCATTCTTTATCATTCCGCACCAATTTTGACAATTGTTCAAATCCATATTATGCTCGTCACTACACTAATTCTTTGCTCTATTAGTAAACATAACCGCAGTTATTACGACATTAATCATCAAAATGGAGTCCGCGACAAATCATCGAAAGTATTTTCATCGAACGACATTTCGTCGACGACATTTCATCGAAAGATTTTTCATCGCACGGACTTTTCATCGCACGGACTTTTCATCGCACGGACTTTTCATCGCTAGAACTTTTCATCGCAATATATTTTCCAGGTATCTATAATTTTCTCTTTTCAAATTTGTACAAAAGTTGTGAAGAAAAACAAGAAGTGGGACATAATTGA